TAACTCACGTGTACAATTTAGGGACTGATAGATGCCTGGGGAAAATAGTTCATGTAGACTATCAAATTTAGCTCCATGTCTTTCCCTTTCATACAGGGAAATCCAAGCTGTCTTGGCAGCACTTAGTCCTATATTCTCTCTAATTCATTGAGATAGTGCTAGCTTTGATAATGAACCTGGACTTTGTTGAAATAAGTACAGTAAAAATGTTCAGTGTCCTTAATAAGTATTGAGATTCTTTAAATAGATCAATGACTTCTTTTATGGCTTTTAACAACATTACTGGTCTCACTTTGCTTTTTTTCCCTTTTCATTTTGAAATATTTGAATCATTTCTCAAGATTTCTTCCTGATCTGTGCACTATTTTGTGTACTTAATTTCTAATTAGTTTGAGATTTTCCATGAGTATTTTTGAAGTTATTATTTTCTATTTTAACTTTCTGTGATCTGATAATATGCTTATGATATTTTGATTTGAAATATGAAGTATACAACTATACAATCTTCAGAACCAGATTGATTAGCATTGATATACTGCTAAATATTCAGGCCTTATTTCCAATTATTTCAGTAATATGCTTAGAGACTAAAGATCCAGATAATCATAATTATCTTTTTGATTTCGTTGATGAATTCTACCAAATATGTAAGATTAAATTGTATAATTACTACACAAATTGCTTCAGGAAATAGCGATTCCTAACTCCTTTCACTAAATGACTTTAATCCTGATAAATAAACCACATTCAGACATTACAAAATTATTGAATAATAGCTCTCCTAAAAGTATCATCTGGATAAAATTGCACCTTGGAGAAATATTTCCCCAAGAGTCAATTCTTTGAAGGAACTTTGAGGAAAACGTCATAAATCTTTGAGCTTATTTTGGTAAATGTAAAATCTAGATTTAGGCAAGGACTATGAGAACATGAAAGCAGTCAATATGAAGAGTGCTTGGACAAGTGGGCTGTTTCCATGCTTGGAATTGTACATGTGCTATTTGCAAACAGCAATATATATTCAGTTTCATGAAGTTATTTTTAATTAAAAAAAATTCATAGCCGGGCATGGTGGCACACACCTTTAATCCCAGCCCTCAGGAGGCAGAGGCAGGCAGATCTCTGTGAGCTCAAGGCCAGCTTGGTCTACATAGTGAGTTCCAGGACAGCTGGGGCTACAGGGAGACCCTTTCTCAAAAAGACCAATATATATATTCATAGACATACAGGAGAAGGTCTGTATTTTTTGCCTAAATTATATGGTTTACTTGTTTCAGTGACCATTCTGAGATTTACAAAAAAAAAATCTGTATTATAAAAAATCAGGATTATAGTTTTTAATTGAAATGAATTTATTTTAATAAACAAAACAACAAAAAATGCATAACATGCTGAAGATATCAGGAGAGACTGAAAAAGGGGGTCCATGAATACATGATCAGGTCAACTGTGGAAAAAAATTTGAAAGTTTTTCTTGGTTTATGTTTTCTGATTAATAAGCTAATTTCCAACCTCTTGAGTTGCCCTTTTTCAGTTTTGCTCTAGCTCTTACTGATCTCATTACTGTCTTCTTAGATTTTAATTTTTTTCTTTTTCTTCCATTCCGTGGATGTTCAAGTTGGCCTGCGCCTCTATTCTTTCTGTAAACTCACTCCCACTGGGGTTCACTTATGGTCTAGGGTTGTGCTTGAAGCAGAATATTTAGAAACAACCTACAAGAGGCTTTTCAAAAATAATCCAATGTCATCTCTCAGTGTCTTCTATATAAAAGAAGTGTAATTTTCCCTGGCAGTACATGGGTTTCTCATTTATTGTTGAAGTGCTGCAAAGAAAGAGCTTTGATCTCTGTGTGTATTGATGAATTAAACATAATCCTACTGAGTATTAAGAAATCATTTAATGAGCCTGGAATGGAAGTTCCTTCTGAGTTGTATTTCTCTAGTTTTGGGTTGGAATATATTTTCCTTTCCAAACATCACAGAAATGCTGATGCTTTCCATCTCTGGATGAAGAAAAAGGTTCTGAACAAAAGCATTTTCTCTACATCCAAGATTCTTGAGTTTAATTTTACCTGTAAACCCCATTTGTAGTATGTTATTTAAAGTGGTAATGAGTTCCTATGACAGAGCAGTTGCAGATTTCTGCTGTTTCACTCTTAATTGCATATTTTGAATCATATAATCATTAACTTTGGTGTCCAAATTAATCTGAAAGTTTACTTTTTACACTTTTTGGTATATTTTAGAGATTCAGATTAAAAGATCAGGTTAAAAATCAACAACCCAGTTATAAAACGATATACAAAAATATTCATATTTCAAAAAATATATTTAATAATTATTAATGGAACATCAGTATCTGTCCTAAAAAAATTCTATAAACAAACATAGCCACTGTTTTTCATTTTAGTAAGATTTTCATCTCCTTGTTTTCCTTTCATTTGGTCCTATGTAAACATGGTTCTTATAAATGTGCACATTCCCTATCCATATTTTGTTCCTTATACAAATAAGCACTGCTATACATGTAAATAATATTGTTGAATATGAACAGAATACCTTTAGCAATAGAAACATTTTACCTTGAGCTGACAGAAAATAGTTTTTCATGGCACCCGGTTGCCCTTGCTCTATCCTGATCAGAACTCCTCCAGTGTCACAGTGTCCTGGAGCCTTTGCCCTAATGCCACACTCAATGTTATGCTAACATATACAGCTTCATTTTATAATAATTGACTAAGAAATATTGATACCAGGGGATCAGGATAGCATTCACATCTAAAACCTTCTATGTTTTAAATGTGACAAGCATGTCTTTTGAAACAATACTCCTAAGAATAATTTATTTCTCATTCCGGATAATGCTCTTTCCAAAGTATCATGCATTAACTGCAGAGCCCTAATAATTGCTGATGTATTATTTCAACAAATATCTGATCATGTGAGAGTTTTATGTTTAGATCAGCTTTAATTGCTTATAATTGGCAATAAATATACTTACAAATGCAACTAAGGACTCTGATATATTATTCTTAATTGGCATTCATAAAATCATTCTGTAAATCTACATGTAATTAGCTTAATTATATATTTATTTCTTGCAGTTCATAGTCAGAAATAAATGGAAATAAAAGGAATCCATCTCAGAAATCATCATATATATGCATATATATGTATATATATATGTACATATATATCGAATCTCTAAATTCAAATTGACTTGTTTTTCTGACTAAGAGAAGGTGTACGATGTGCATTACATTTTTGGTCTATGGAAACAAACATATCTATGTAAAAATTGAATGATTCCTTAATAAGCCCAGCTTTTTTTTTCATTTCAAGTGTGTGAAAAAATAAGTATCATTTTAAAGTTTGTGGGCACAGTTTTTCATAATGCATAAAGATTTTTTTATTAAATTTTGTAGCTTGTAGGCTTTTCTAGAGAGACAGAGGATCTAGGGTTATACCAAGGCCACCAGATTTGGCCTGTGTAGAGAGGAAGGGCACCCAGTTAGGACAATCTTAACCAAAGGATGTGATAGATAAATGCCAGTTTAGAATGGGAATGCACATCAAACTTAGAATGGTGAGCTGAACTAAACCATGTTGTGATGGCAGAGAAACTTCCAACTCACAGACTTTTCTAATTATCCTATTCATTTCTCCAGTTTTCTAGAAGACATGGAAGATTTTCTTCTTTTTAAAAAATATTTTATGTATTTATTTTTTAATTTTATGTGTATGAGTATTTTGCCTGCATTTATGTAAATGCACCTGTATCATGCATTGTCCATGGAGGTTAGAAGAGGGTATCAAATTCCCTGGGACTGGAGTTACAGACAGGTTTTAATTGCTTTGTGGGTGCTGGGACCCAAGCCTGGGTCCTCTGCAAGAGCAGCCAGTGCTCTTAACTACTGGGCCATCTCTCCAGTCCCCTGATTTTCTTCTTGAAGTGCTTGTCCTCTCTCATCTACATTTCAATTACTATATATCCATTCCTTAACCAGAATCCAATGACTCAATGAAATGAACCTCTGTATGTTATTTGATAAGAATGATGATAGAGGTAAGGCAAATGTAAAAAATGTTCTTGATGGCAAACTAAAAAAAAACAAAAACAAAAACAAACAAACAAAAAAAAACAGAAAAAAACACTGTCAATATTCTGGTAGCTTTCCTTAAAGGAAACCAAAATTTTTATTAAAGAGAAACCTAAAAAGAATTTAGGACCTAAATCACCATCAGGTAAAGCACTATGGCGGGTAACTTTTAATTATATCACTTAATACACATTGAAAATCCTGAGCATTGATTTACGTTTTGATAGAAATGCTTCTGATCTTTGTCTGTTTTTCTTTGTATGTTGTCAGTAGTGATTATCTAGACAGCCTTCAAACACTATTGACAACGTACAAGGCAAAACAGAATGACCACAAGAATGACCACAGGAAAGAGCTAGCTCAGCACTTAGAAACACTGGCTGCTCTTGCGGAAGACTCAGGTTCAGTTCCTAGCGCCCATATGTCAGCTAACAAAAGTCTGTAACTCCAGTTCCAGAAGATTCAGCACCCTCTTGTGACCTCCATAATCACTGCATGGTATGGGTGCACTTACAGACAGACAGACAATATATTCCTACACATAAAATCAAACAGTAAAAAAAAAATTTTTCAAAAGAATTTCTATACAAATTCCCAGGAATAATAAGATGCCTTACATTGGACCGAAATATCAAATATCTATAGAAAATTGTTGCCAAGATAAAGAAAGGAGGAATGCATGCTTTATTAAAGTCTTTATATGAGTCAGACCTGGAGGCAGTTTATTAGTACATGTTACCTTTTTAAATAATTTTTAATATGTGATGGCATAGGCAAGTTGTAGCAAGGCTGGTAAACACTACTGGTTACTTTTAAATAGACGCATATTCTGTTAAGACTGTAATCTGCATTCTTACCCTAAAACTCTGGGAATAACTCATTCTGTGTTGATGTTTTGCAGTGAGGCCCACAGTAATAGAAACTGATGTTTATGTGAACAGCATTGGGCCGGTTGATCCCATAAATATGGTGAGTGATGAATACTATACATACAAAGATTCTAAGTATACGCCTCATAGTTGTGTGTGTGTGTGTGTGTGATTTCTTATAGTTAATTCTGAATGAATTCATGTCAACACATGCAATTGCTATGTGCCAGATAGTCTCAAGTAGAACCAGTAGGTTGTTATTACAATGGACTATATAGAATAACATAATTCTAGTTCATAAACAATTATCACCTGACCCATCAAGACTTATTCTCTGAAAATGTTCAGAAAAAACTAAGAAGACACAATTGGGAAAATCAGAGATAGAATGGAATTTGCTGGGGGAAAAAAGCAGCAAATACAAAAAGGTCTTTCTGAATAGTGAGGCTAGCAATTTGCTGTCACTGAACTTTAAAATACAAGGTAAAGAACTGAGTCAGAAGGGGCACTGGAGGGTGTAATTGAGGATGCTCTTGTAAGCCCTCACAATAGGAGGCTTATGCATTTTTCATGTACTGGGTAAATTGTATCTCTTTGGAAAAGAAAAGTTGGTAGAAAGGGTTTAATAAGGGGACTTTCATAGGTATATGTACACTACTCAGTACAGTACTCTTGTAACAGTCTAGAATATGGATATAATGGGCCAATTCCAGGTTAGAGAAACTAGTTCTAAAGTGGTTGTATTACTCCTGTAACAGATCTACAAATTATTATAGTTTTAAAGAACTCTAAGGCATAATTTTTAAACTTAGGTTGTTCCATAGTTTTATATAGGGTGCCTCCAAGAAGTGAAGTAGAAGAGACTTTGCAGATGGGGAAATCATTATTGGAGATCATCAATAAGTAGGCATATGTGCCCAAATGCAGTGATTTGCCTTATAAATCTGCTATTGAAGGGAAATGTTAAAACTGAACATAGACGTAGAGGAGAAAGGGAAATAGAGAGCACAGCATTTAATGTATGTTATAACAAAGTATATGTGCCAAGACCCAAGGGAATATTAAAGCTGAGAAGAGTGTAGGCCTGAGGACCAGATGGTATTATGAGTTCTACTCTCTCTGTCTGTCTTTGTGTCTCCCTTTCTTTCGACTTCTCTGTCTCTGTTTTTCTGTCTCTCTTTCTCAGAAGAAAGAAAAGTATGGAAAGGTGTCAAATTGGAAAAGGACAAAAGGAGAATCTGGAGATGATATTTATATTACAGTGAAAAAGAGGGAAAATAATGAATTTAAAATGTCCATAGCATTCAACATGTAATAAATTTAATGCCATTAAAATAAGCAATGTTAGACAGGCTAGGTTTAAATTGAATTTTATAAATCAGTAAATTGAGAAATGAGATTTAAAAGAAGAGTATAGTGACAGACAGAATGTAATAGAATAGGAAGAACAAATTTTAGTGTTCCACAGCATAGTAAAATGACTATACTTTAAAAATTTATTAAATATTTCATAATAATAAAAGAGAAACAGAGGGAGTACTCCCAAATGCCTTCTATGAAGCCAGTATCACTCTAATACCAAAATCAGATAAAGACACAACAAAACCTCAAAATTGTAATCCCATATCCTTATTGAACATAGATGAAAAGATTCTCAACAAAAAACTTGCAAACCACTTATTGACACACATCAAAAATATCATCCACCATAATTTAGTCGACTTCATTCTAGAGATGCAGGGATGGTTCAGTATATGTAAGTCAAAAAATGTAAGAAATCATATAAATAAACTTAAAGACAAAAGTCACATGGTCATCTCAGTAGATGCAGAAAAGGCCTTTGACAAAATCTAACATACATTCATGTTAAAGGTCATAAAGAAAATAGGACCAGAGTGAACATACCTCACTATAATTAAGCTATATACAACAAACTCACAGCCAACATCATTCTAAATGTAGAAAAACTGGAAGCATTCCTATTAAAATCAGGAGTCAGATAAGGCTGTCCACTATCTGCACTCCATTTCAATATAGTACCTGAAACTCTTGCTAGACCAATAATAGTACGAGAGAAGGAAATCAAAGCAGTGCTAATTGGAAAAGATGTAAAATTATCACTATTTACAGATGGTATGGTATTATATGTAAGAGATCCCAAAACTTCCACCAGAAAACTTCTAGAAATGATCAGTACTTTGAGCAAAGGGGCAGGTTACAAAGGTTACAAGCTCAATTTACAAAAACCCAAAGCCTTTCTACATACCAATAATAAGTACTTGGGGAAAGCATTCATTTCATTCACAAGTGATTAAAAATATTCAAGAATAAGCCTAACCAAAGACATTAAGGATTTACACAATAAAAATTTTAAATCTTTAAGGAAAGAGATAAAGGAAGAAGGCAGGAGATGGAAGGCCCTCCCTTGCTCATGGTAGAATTGGTAGAATTCATCTTGTGAAAATGACCATCTTCACCCTGTCTAAAAGTCAACTCCAAATGGATCAAAGACCTCAATAAGAAGCCTGAAGCTCTAAAACTGCTAGAAGAAAACACAGGCAGCACCTTACAAGATACAGGGGTAGGAAAGACTTTCTAAATTGTACATCAGTTTGCTCAGGCATTAATGTCAACAATTGATAAGTGGGACCTCATTAAACTAAAAAAGCTTCTGTATAGCAAAAGAAACAACCAAGGAAGTGAAGAAGAAATATCTTCCATCTGACAGAGGATTAATGTACCGAATATACAAAGAACTAACAACAACAACAAAAAAAAAAAAAAAAAAAAAAAAAAAAAAAAAAAAAAAAAAAACCAAGGAAAATGATGGACAAAGGACCTGAACAAAGAGTTCTCAAACGAAGAATAAAAATGGCTAAGAAACACCTTAATACTGCTCAACATCTTCAGTATTTAGAGAAATGCAGATCAAAACCACTTTAAGATTTCATCTTACCCTAGTCAGACTGACTAAGATGAAGAGGTGAAAAGATACTAAATGCTGGCAAAGATGTGGGGAAAGAGGAACGCTCATTCATTGCTGATGGGAATGCATACTCATGTAACGACTGTGGAAAACAGTGTGGAGAACTTATTTTTCATTTTTAAAAATATTTTTATTGAATTTATGAGTATTTCATAGAAAATATTTTATTCATCTTTATACCCCTTTCCCTATCGTCACAGTCCCATAGGCCCCCACAGGAGTTCATGCATTCTGACATTTATGTTAATGCCTTTCGAGTCAAGTTAGTGTCCCCTGATGTCTCTCAGTGCAAGTCCACTGGCATCTAGTCAGCCTATCTAGAGTCATTCCCTGAAAGAAGATCAGCTCTTCCTTACCTAGTAGTAATCAGTTGCCCAATAGTTCTTTGGCTATGATTGGGGACTATTGCCCATTTCCACAGTCCTATGCTGGGCTTTTGTCCACTTCAGTGTGCATGTGTCTTGTGCATGCTGTTATTATTGCACCAAGTTCTTATGAGCAAGATCTCAGGAGCCTGAAAGACTCTATTTCTACTTGGTCATGCACCTCCTCCCCTGGCTCTTACAATCTTTTCTGCTCCCTCTTCCACAATGGTCCCTGAGCCCTGCGTTCATTGCCCTCTGTTGCATGATGGAGTTTCACTGATGAGAGTTGGAAGATGCATTAGTATTCTCTCTACTTATTGTTCCACTATGTTCCATGAGTCTTAGTTGTAGAGGTTTAATTTTAGATCTGTCACTTATGGCTGGGCATTTCACAGACACTTAATCTCTGTGTGTGCCCTGCTGTGGAAATCTGTAATAGTCTCCCTCTGTTGCAAAAGCAGTTTCATTGATGAGTGGTGATTGGCAGACTTGTCTGTAAATATAAGGACCAATATTTAGCACAAAGTAAGAAATTACATTTGTCTAGATATGTGACAGCCTTACAGTTTTCTCTAATATCTTTGACCCCTCCAGCAATCAATCTACCATATGATCCATTTATACCAGTCCTTGGCATATACCCAAAGGACTCATCCTACTGTTGAGATACTCATACATCCATGATTGTTGGGCTTTTTTCACAATAGCTAAGAAATTGAAAGAACACAAGTGTCCCTCAATCAAGGAATGGATAATGAAAATGTGGTACATTTACACAATGGAGTTCTACTCAGTGGTAAGTAAGAAAAAAAAAATCATGAAATTTGCAAGGGAATGGATGAAACCAGAAGCTGTTATAATAAGTGAAGTAATACAGACTCAGAAAAGCAAGGGGGTATGTTCTCCCTCATTTGTAGATCTTAATACCAGCCCGTTATATGTGAGTATATATTGTGATATAATAACAGGAGCCAAGGAAAATGGAAAGGAAGCACGGAGGTAAAGAAAAGAAAGAGCCAAGAGAGGGGGATAGTGGCAAACAGATTACCAAGGGGGAAATGGGAAAAATGGGAGCATTCAACTGGCATGGGAGGAGAGAAGGACATACAAAGAACCATGGAGATAAAGGGGAAGAAGAAATGCAAGAGAGGTGGGGTAATGGGAGACCTGGAATATCAAGGGGAAAATGAGGAAAAGGAGGAAATTAGGGGTACTTAAACTAGAGAGCGAGGAGGGAGAGTTAGATAGGGAGAGAGAGAAGGAAGATGAATAATGCACAGATCTTGTGAAAATCCAGAGAGAATTATATTACCTCAACCCCCCCCAATACACATGAAATAGCTGAACATGAGTGCATGTGTATAGCTGAAGGCTATATAAGAAACAATAGTGCCAGACAGGAGAAATCTCCTTTCAAGTTGTTGGTCAGCATACGCCAAGAAACTCCCCACATAACACAGGCTATTGCCACAGCCCTTCATTACCTTCCAGAACTCAAAGGTAAGACTCTATTGCTGAAGGCAGGACATACTTCAGACACAGGACTTGGAGCAATGAATGGAGCTGGACCTGACCTGGAAGTCTTCTCCCTGAAGACTCACTCTCATAGTTCTAAAGGATACTATGGAAGCTGCTGAAGGAGAAAATCAATCAATGCTCCAAACCAGCTCTGAAGCCTAATAACCACAATGACTGGCCCAACAAACTATCTCATATGGTGCAGTAGTGGCACTTTTACCTAGGGGGTAA